CACACACACAGGTGTAAACACACACACACAAACACATGTAAACACACACAGGTAAACACACACACACACACTCACACACATACACACACACACACAGGTAAACACACACAAACACATGTAAACACACACAGGTAAACACACACAGGTAAACACACACACAGGTAAACACACACACACACAAACACATGTAAACACACACAGGTAAACACACACACAGGTAAACACACACACACACAGGTGTAAACACACACACAGGTAAACACACACAGGTAAACACACACACACACACACACACACACATACATACATACACACACACACACACACACACACACAGGTGTAAACACACACACACACACACAGAGGTAAACACACACACACAGGTGTAAACACAAACAGGTAAACACACACACACAGGTAGACACATACAGGTAAACACACACAGGTGTATACACACAGGTAAACACACACTTGTGTAAACACACACTTGTGTAAACACACAGGTAAACACACACAGGTGTAAACACACACACACACACAGGTAAACACACACAGGTAAACACACACAAAAACACACACAGGTGTAAACACAAACAGGTAAACACACACACACACACACACACACACAGAGGTAAACACACACACACACAGGTGTAAACACAAACAGGTAAACACACACACACACACAGGTAAACACATACAGGTAAACACACACAGGTGTATACACACAGGTAAACACACACGGTAAACACAAACAGGTAAACACACACACACACACAGGTAAACACATACAGGTAAACACACACACACACAGGTAAACACATACAGGTAAACACACACAGGTGTAAACACAAACAGGTAAACACACACACACACAGGTAAACACATACAGGTAAACACACACAGGTGTATACACACAGGTAAACACACACAGGTGTAAACACAAACAGGTAAACACACACACACACAGGTAAACACATACAGGTAAACACACACACACACAGGTAAACACATACAGGTAAACACACACAGGTGTAAACACAAACAGGTAAACACACACACACACAGGTAAACACATACAGGTAAACACACACAGGTGTATACACACAGGTAAACACACACAGGTGTAAACACACACAGGTAAACACACACAGGTGTAAACACAAACAGGTAAACACACACACACACACAGGTGTAAACACAAACATGTAAACACACACACACACACACACACACACACACACACACACAGGTAAACACACACAGGTGTAAACACACACACAGGTGTAAAAACACACAGGTGTAACCACACACAGGTGTAACCAGTATGTTGTGCTGTTGGTTCCTCAGAGACTTTGATGGGATGTCAGATCTGCACACTGGAATCTCAAACACTACAGGTAGGATCAGAGGTCAGAGGTGGTGGGTGTTAGCATGCTGATGTTAGCATTTAGCTCAAGGTGTGTGTGTGTGTGTGTGTGTGTGTGTGTGTGTGTGTGTGTGTGTGTGTAGGAGTTGTGTATAACTACACTCGTGGTGGCGTCCGCAGAGATCAGAGCGGGTGGGAGCGCTGCATCAACGTCCCTCTTGTCCGACCCGACATGTTCCACCTGCTGGCTCAGTGGGACCAGTACCTGGAGCGCTTCTCTGACGGTCCCATGTGGGACCCCGCCTGGCACAGGTACACCTGTTTGTCTGTCTGTCTGTCTGTCTGTCTGTCTGACCACCTGTTTGACCACCTGTCTGTCTGTCTGTCTGTCTGACCACCTGTCTGTCCCTCAGGTTCCATGAGGACGACCACAACTGCTTCAGTTTCTGTCTTCAGTTCATTAACGGCGTCCTGGCAGCGGAGGGGCGGAGCTCTCTGAGCAGAGACGCCTTCACTCACAGCTTCATCCTGCCGAGGATGAGGAGGGTCTCCAAATACACAACACTGTACCAGCACCTCCAGAGACACCAGTACTACATGGTGGACAGACAGGAGGACAGACAGGAGGACAGACAGGTTAAACCAGAGCCCTGAAACTGATCCTTCAGACTAACGTATGTGTCCTCCTGAGTGCATCAAATTATATGTTCGAATATGCTATAGGTTATAGGTTCATTTAATTTTAATGTATGTCTAATGTATGTCTAATATATGTCTAATGTATGTCTAATGTATGTTTAATGTATGTCTAATGTATGTCTAATTTATGTCTAATGTATGTCTAATATATGTCTAATGTATGTCTAATGTATGTTTAATGTATGTTTAATATATGTCTAATTTATGTCTAATGTATGTCTAATGTATGTTGAATATATGTCTAATGTATGTTTAATATATGTCTAATGTATGTCTAATGTATGTTTAATATATGTCTAATGTATGTCTAATGTATGTTTAATATATGTCTAATTTATGTCTAATGTATGTCTAATGTATGTTTAATGTATGTCTAATATATGTCTAATGTATGTCTAATGTATGTTTAATATATGTCTAATGTATGTCTAATGTATGTTTAATATATGTCTAATGTATGTTTAATATATGTCTAATGTATGTCTAATGTATGTTTAATATATGTCTAATGTATGTCTAATGTATGTTTAATATATGTCTAATTTATGTCTAATGTATGTCTAATGTATGTTTAATATATGTTTAATTTATGTCTAATGTATGTCTAATGTATGTTTAATATATGTCTAATGTATGTTTAATGTATGTTTAATGTATGTCTAATGTATGTGTAATGTATGTTTAATGTATGTCTAATGTATGTCTAATGTATGTCTAATGTATGTTTAATGTATGTTTAATGTATGTTTAATATATGTCTAATGTATGTGTAATGTATGTTTAATGTATGTTTAATGTATGTCTAATGTATGTCTAATGTATGTTTAATATATGTGTAATGTATGTCTAATGTATGTTTAATGTATGTGTAATGTATGTTTAATATATGTGTAATGTATGTCTAATGTATGTTTAATGTATGTCTAATGTATGTTTAATATATGTGTAATGTATGTGTAATGTATGTTTAATGTATGTCTAATGTATGTTTGTATGCTGCTACTGGATTCTTGAATTTCCCTCAGGATAAATAAAATATCTATTTATGCAAATGAAGCATTAGCTCATTAACATAAACATAAATATAAGTTAGCATCATAACTAACAGCTAATAGGCCTCTGACTTGTTAATCTTGGTTTTGTTTTATTATATTTTATTCTCATATTTCAACTGTGTTTTGTATCATTACTGATATTTTATCTTTGTTTTATTCTCATCACTAATTATAATGAATAAACACGACATTACACATTATAAAGAGTAAAGAAACTGTTGAATAACATAGAAGAAGAAGAAGATATACTTTATTATGTGTGTGTGTGTGTGTGTGTGTGTGTGTGTGTGTGTGTGTGTGTGTGTGTGTGTGTGTGTGTGTGTTGTGTGTCTGTGTGTGTGTGTGTCTATGTGTGTGTGTTGTGTGTTTGTGTGTGTGTGTCTGTGTGTTATGTGTGTGTGTGTGTGTGTGTGTGTGTGTGTGTTGTGTGTGTGTGTTGTTTGTGTGTGTGTGTTGTGTGTGTAGTGTGTGTGTGTGTGTGTGTGTGTGTGTGTGTGTGTGTGTGTGTGTGTGTGTGTGTGTGTGTGTGTGTGTGTGTGTGTGTGTGTGTGTGTGTGTGTGTGTGTGTGTGTGTCTGTGTGTGTGTGTGTGTGTGTGTGTGTGTGTGTGTGTGTGTGTGTGTGTGTGTGTGTGTGTGTGTGTGTGTGTGTGTCTGTGTGTGTGTGTGTGTGTGTGTGTGTGTGTGTGTGTGTGTGTGTGTGTGTGTGTGTGTCTGTGTGTGTGTGTGTGTGTGTGTGTGTGTGTGTGTGTGTGTGTGTGTGTGTGTGTGTGTTATTATAGATAATATAAATGAATCATTTCCAACCACTGGGAGAATAAAGAGGGTGCAGTTCCTCCAGGTGCAGTTCCTCCAGGTGCAGTTGCTCCAGCAGGGGGCGGTAACGCACCTCCAGGATGGTTTACAACCGCCATTAAAAGCGGAAGAAGAAGAGGAGTTCCAGTCGGACTCAGATTCGGTGACACCGCAGCGTCCGACAGTGAAACAGGTCCGACCAGAAACCGTCAGCGAGCCGACAGTCTAACAGTTAGCATCCTGTCTCAGTCCGGACCCGGTCCCGGTCCCTGACCCGGTCTGACCCGGTCCTAGCAGCATGCAAGCGGAGTTCCGGGCTCCCCGCAGACGGACCCGGGTTCAGGAGGAGTACGAGGCTCCGCTGCCGGTGAGCCGCATTCCGGAGGACTGGACCCCCTTCAGGGCTCAGCTCCTCAACCAGCACGTGCTAGTCTGTCATCCGGACCACATCCAGAAGATCCACAACCAGGTCTGACCCAGTCCTCCTTCTCTGGAACCAGGTCTCAGGTAGTCCTGGTTCTCATTTCTGCGCACTTCTGCGCATGCGTAGACAGGAAACATGAAGAAATAAAACAAAAATAAAACCTCATCAATGCATTATTATTATTATTATTATTATTATTATTATTATTACCATCATCACTATTATCACTAATAATAATAATAATCTTATTATTATTATTATTATTATTATTATTATTATTATTATTACCATCATCACTATTATCACTAACAATAATAATAATCTTATTATTATTATTATTATTATTATTATTATTATTATTATTACTACCATCATCACTATTATCACTAACAATAATAATAATCTTATTATTATTATTATTATTATTATTATTATTACTACCATCATCACTATTATCACTAACAATAATAATAATCTTATTATTATTATTATTATTATTATTATTATTATTATTACTACCATCATAATCTTATTATTATTATTATTATTATTATTATTATTACCATCATCACTATTATCACTAATAATAATAATAATCTTATTATTATTATTATTATTATTATTATTATTACCATCATAATCTTATTATTATTATTATTATTATTATTATTACTACCATCATCACTATTATCACTAATAATAATAATAATCTTTATTATTATTATTATTATTATTATTATTATTACCATCATAATCTTATTATTATTATTATTATTATTATTATTATTACCATCATCACTATTATCCTAATAATAATAATAATAATAATAAAATAATCTTATTATTATTATTATTATTATTACCATCATCACTATTATCACTAACAATAATAATAATCTATTATTATTATTATTATTATTATTATTATTACTACCATCATCACTATTATCACTAATAATAATAATAATAATAATAATAATAATCTTATTATTATTATTATTATTACCATCATCACTATTATCAATAATAATAATAATAATAATAATAATATTATTATTATTATTATTATTACCATCATCACTATTATCACTAATAATAATAATAATAATAATTTTTATTTTATTATTATTATTTTTATTACCATCATCACTATTATCACTAATAATAATAATAATTGACCCAAGAGTTCCCACCAAAAGCAAGACCTTGGAGACAGCGGCAAGGCAAAACTGCCTTTTAAGAGATAGAGAGAGATAGAGAAAGAGAGATAGAGAGAGAGACCTTGATGGACCCAGGGTGCAGTGTTACATTTGTTCAATGTTATACTACAGGCAGGAGGTTTTCCCAACATCTGGTGCAAAGGGCTCATTTCCCCCATTCATAAGAGTGGGGACAAATCAGACCCTAATAACTACCGTGGCATCTGTGTCAGCAGCTGTCTAGGTAAACTATTCTGTAGTATTCTTAATACAAGAATACTAGATTTCCTTGAGGATCAGTCAATCTTAAGTAAAAGTCAGATTGGCTTCCTCCCAAAACACCGCACCACCGACAGTGTATATACCCTTCACACTTTAATCAACAAACAGGTACAACAAACTAAGAATGGAAAAATATTCACCTGCTTTATTGATTTCAAGAAAGCTTTGGACTCTATTTGGCATGAAGGGCTCTATTACAGACTTTTAAACTGTGGTATAGGTGGCAAAATGTATGATCTGGTTAAATCAATGTATTTGGAAAACATGTGTGCTGTTAAAATTGGAAACAAACTAAATGATTTCTTCCCTCAGAGAAGAGGCGTTCCACAGGGTTGCAATCTAAGTCCGACTTTATTTAATGTGTATATAAATGAACTGGCTGTTGAGTTAGATAAATGTGCTGCTCCGGGCCTCTCCCTCCTAGATAGAGAGGTAAAGTCTCTGTTTTATGCTGATGACCTTGTTCTACTGTCTCCTACTGAACAAGGACTACAGCTACAGCTGGACGTAGTAGAAAAGTACTGTCAGAACTGGGCCCTGGCAGTAAACATGAAGAAAACCAATGTCATGATCTTTCAAAAACGCCCCAGGTGTCATGAGAACAAACACCAATTTACCATCAATAATCATGTCATTGAACACAGCATGAGTTATACCTACCTTGGTATAACCATAACAGCATCAGGGAGTTTCAACATGGCAGTGAATGCACTAAAAGAAAAAGCTCAAAGAGCTCTATATGCAATTAAGAGAACATTTTATAATTTCCATATTCCAATAAAAATCTGGCTTAAAATATTTGATAGTGTCATCCAGCCCATTGCGCTGTACAGTAGTGAAGTATGGGGTCCATCAGAGCTTTACCCGTTGGGACAAACATCCAACAGAATCTCTACATGCAGAATTCTGCAGATACATTTTACACGTACACAGAAACACACCAACAAATGCATGTAGAGCAGAATCAGGCAGATACCCACTGATAATTAACATTCAGAAGAGAACGCTCAACTTCTTTAACCACCTGAAATCCAGCCCCAGAGACACCCTCCACTCCAAAGCCCTCCAAACCCAAGAGCTGAGCCCAGAAAAGAGTGCCCTATATCAGTTGGTACTGAGGCTAACTGCCCCCTCTCAGACACACTCTGACCAGCCTCACAACAACACGGCTCTACAAACAGTAATCAGAGTAAAGCAAATGATAGCACAATGTAAAGAAAGCTATCTGGACCATTGGGAAGAAACAACTAAAAGCCAAAGTAGATTGGAATGTTATCTTGCCCTTAAAAGAGATTATGAATGAGCAGAATATCTCTCTACTGTCAGAGATAGAAAGCAGAGACAGATCCTAACCAAGTACAGGCTCAGTGACCACAAACTGCCAATCCAAACAGGAAGACACAAAAAATCATGGCAACCAAAAGAAAAAAAAAAGTCACTGTTCGACAGGTGAGGTTGAGACGGAGATGCACTTTCTCCTACAATGTACAACATTAAATGATTCTAGAAAAATGTATTTGAACAAGTTCAGCTCTTTGGTTCCAGATTTCAAAGAGCTGAACGACCTCTCCAAATTAAAAATACTCCTGGAGAAGGAGAGCGGGCACACCTTGCTGCCCAGTATGTATTAACATGCCACAACCTGAGGGACACACACACACACACACACACACACACACACACACACACACACACAGCCACTCCCCGAGTTGGGGGGTCACTGCCCCGAGTGCTCCTACTACCACGGGGATCACGCTCACCTTGACCTTCCACATCTGCTCCAGCTGTTCTTTCAACCCTTGGTACTTTTCAACCTTTTCGTGTTCCTTCTTTCTGATGTTGGCGTCTGTATGGCCACATCTATCAGCACCGCCTTCTTCTGCTCCTTGTCTACCACCACTATGTCCGGTTGGTTGGCTAGGACCTGTTTGTCAGTCTGGAAGCTGAAGTCCCTCAGCACCTTGGCCCTGTTGTTCTCAGCCACCTTCTGTGGTGTGGCCCATTGGGATTTTGGTACTTCTATTCCATACTGGGTACAGATGTTCCTGTACACTATTCCAGCCACTTGGTTGTGTCTCTCCATGTACGCTGACCCGGCTAGCATCTTACACCCTGCTACTATGTGCTGGACTGTCTCAGGGGCATCTTTGCATAGTCTGCACCTTGGGTCAGATCTACTCTTGTAGATCTTGGCCTCTATGGCTCTTGTACCTAGGGCCTGTTCTTGTGCTGCCATGATCAGTGCCTCTGTGCTGTCTCTGAGTCCAGCCTTTTCCAGCCATTGGTAGGTCTTCTCGATATCAGCCACTTCTTCAGTTTGGCGGTGGTACGTGCCATGTAGGGGCTTGTCCCTCCAGGTTGTCTGCTCCTCTTCCTCTGCACTCTTATCGGGTTTCTGTTGCCTGAGACATTCACTTAGCAGTTCATCCTTTGTGGCCATTTTACTGATGTACTCTTGGATTTTTGATGTTTCATCCTGGATAGCGGCCTTGATGCTCACTAGTCCTCGGCCTCCCTCTTTCCGCTTAGCGTACAGTCTCAGGGTGCTGGATTTGGGGTGAAACCCTCTGTGCATGGTGAGGAGCTTTCTTGTCTTGATATCTGTGGCTTCTATCTCCTCCTTTGGCCAGCTTATGATCCCAGCAGGGTATCTGATGACTGGTAGTGTGTACATGTTGATGGCTTGGATCTTGTTCCTGCCATTCAGCTGACTTTTCAGGACCTGCCTTACTCTCTGGAGGTATTTGGTTGTGGTTGACTTCCTTGCGGCTTCCTCATGGTTTCCATTAGCCTGTGGGATACCAAGGTACTTGTGGCTGTCTTGGATATCACCTATGTTGCCCTTTGGCAGGTCAACCCCTTCAGTTCTGATCATCTTGCCTCTCTTTGAGACCATCCGGCCGCACTTGTCCAATCCGAATGACATCCCTATGTCGTTGCTGTCGATTTCTCGCTCATTCCTGGCGTACAGTTTAATGTCATCCATGTAGAGCAGGTGGCTAATTGTTGCTCCACTTAGGAATTGGTACCCGTAACCACTCTTTGTGATGATCTGACTGAGGGGGTTCAGGCCTATGCAGAACAGTAGTCGTGATAGCGCATCTCCTTGGTATATGCCGCATTTGATGTTGACTTGGGCAATTGGCTTTGAGTCGGCTTCTAGGGTTGTCTTCCACATTCCCATCGAGTTCTCGTACAAACACCGCCACATCGCAAGGTGCAAAAAACCATCACACAATAGCACAGGAGCTAATACTCCAGCAGCATTGGACATGGTCACAATCATAGGTGAGAAAAGTGCTGAGACACTGAATACTGAATAATGAATAATGAATAATGAATAATCGTGATGCATCACAATGCATCACGATCACTGACATGATAATCGTTATCGAATCGGGAGATCAGTAACAATTCACACCTCTAATATATACACACACACACACACACACACACACACACACACACACACACACGTTTACAGTTTTATCTATTTTACTTTAATTTTAATATATTTTAATATTATATATATATTATATATTATATTTAATAATTTGTTATTACTGTTATATTGACAACAGACTACTTGTTTTAACTGTAGTTACTTTACTACTGTTTTAATGACATTTTTAGTTGACACAAACTGATTGATTGATTCATTGTAATTAATTACTTATTGACTGAGATTGATTGTGACTGTGATTGTGGTTGAGTCAATCATAGTTACAGTATTACCAACAGTATAGATTATTTCATTTATTGTAAATATTGTTTTCCTTTATTGTTATTATTATTATTTTTAATTCCAAACCCTTGCTTTGGCAATATGTACAGTGTTACATCATACAGAGAGAGAGAGAGAGAGAGAGAGAGAGAGAGAGAGAGAGAGAGAGACACAGAGAGACACAGAGAGAGACAGAGACACAGAGAGAGACAGAGACACAGAGAAAAAGAGAGAGACACAGAGAAAAAGAGAGAGACAGAGACACAGAGACACAGAGAAAAAGAGAGAGACAGAGACACAGAGACACAGAGAAAAAGAGAGACAGAGAGAGCCCAGCAACAACTACACTAATAGTAGTGACTGATGATGATCACGCTGTAGACTAGAGGATCAACTGTCGCGGAACCGTTCGTCGACCACACCGTGAACATTTCTTGTAAATCAGATGACGATCGCCTCACAAGGCTTACTTCCTGTTTCCAGTAGGGGGCGCTATGAGTATGACTGAATATTGGCCTGTAGACGGGTTGAAGGAGACTCTCATCAAACAGCACGGCAATAATAGTATAGTCAAATAGACAGTATAGACCTCTGCCCTGTATCTAAAGCTTGGACTATGAAATATTAATACTATCATTACTATTCCTATTATTTGAATCAAATAAAGAATACGAACCTCTGACCATCTACAGCTCTGACCTCTGCCCTGTATCTACAGCTCTGACCTCTGCCTTGTATCTACAGCTCTGACTATGAAATATTAATAATATCATTACTGTTCCTTTTATTTGAATCAAATAAACAGTACGAACCTCTGACCATCTACAGTTCTGACCTCTGCCCTGTATCTACAGCTCTGACCTCTGCCATGTATCTACAGCTCTGACTATGAAATATTAATAATATTACTGTTCCTATTATTTGAATCAAATAAACAGTACGAACCTCTGACCATTTACAGCTCTGACCTCTGCCCTGTATCTACAGCTCTGACCTCTGCCTTGTATCTACAGCTCTGACTATGAAATATTAATAATATCATTACTGTTCCTTTTATTTGAATCAAATAAACAGTACGAACCTCTGACCATCTACAGTTCTGACCTCTGCCCTGTATCTACAGCTCTGACCTCTGCCATGTATCTACAGCTCTGACTATGAAATATTAATAATATTACTGTTCCTATTATTTGAATCAAATAAACAGTACGAACCTCTGACCATTTACAGCTCTGACCTCTGCCCTGTATCTACAGCTCTGACCTCTGCCTTGTATCTACAGCTCTGACTATGAAATATTAATAATATCATTACTGTTCCTTTTATTTGAATCAAATAAACAGTAAGAACCTCTGACCATCTACAGCTCTGACCTCTGCCCTGTATCACACATTAATTAGGGGCCAGTTTAATGACTGATGGCTCAGAGTGTCTGACATTCTATGGGGGAGGTGAAGAGTTTGATGCCCACAGGCTGGAATTACTTCCTGTGACAATCTGCAGTGCATCTCGGAGGAAATGTATAATGAAGTTATAGTGTATATATAGTATATAGTGTGTATATATAGTATATAGTGTGTATATATATATATATATATTATATTTTATTATTATAGTATATATAGTATATAGGATATATTATATTATTATAGTATATACAGTATATAGTATATATATTATATTATTATAGTATATATAGTAATTTATATAGTATATATTATATTACAGTGTATATATTTTATATTACAGTGTATATATAGTATGTATATATAGTGTATATACAGTATTTGTATATATATATACTGTATATACTATATATACTAGACAGTATATACAGTATAGTAGTTCAGCTTTGATATTCAGCTTGCTGTGTGTGTTTCAGGGTTATTTCGGTAAAGGCATCCTGTCCAGAGCCAGACCGGACCACAGCGTCTCTGACCAATGGGAGCGTGAGTTTACACCCACACTGTGACATCATCAGATGGCTGTGGCTCAGAGGCAGTCTTGAGCAAGACACTGAACCCCAAAATTGCTCCTGATGCCGTGCATCGGTGTATGAATCTGTATGAATGTTAGTTTCTGTTCGATGGACTTTGCCATCACTGAGTGAATGTGTGTGAAAGGGTGAATGTGGCGCATAGTGTAAAAGCTCTTTGAGTGGTCGGAAGACTAGAAAGGCGCTATATAAATACAGGTCCATTTACCATTACCATTTACCATCAGACTGGTCCAATCAGAGCCGTTCTCTGCAGCTGATCTCGGTTTCTGTTACAGAACACGAAGGTTTGTTTCTACCCACCATCTCACAGTGCAGGTAAGTGACATCACATCCTGTTTACACAGTGTCAAATGCTAAAGTTGACCTCATCAGTGCATGATGGGAAACTGACTGTCCTCTGATCTATGAGCTTATTGAGGGATCTGACAAACAAATTCCAAATATCCTTCCTCTTCCTCTTCCTCTCCTCTTCCTCCTCCTCCTCCAGGTATGAGGAGCTGCTCAGGTGGGCGGGGTCAGCTCTCTTTGCTCAAGGATTGGATAAAGAAGCTGTCAATCAAACCCTCCTCGGACTTTCTCAGCCAATGGGGATGGAGGACGTGAGGAGGGAGATGGGAGGGGAGGAGCCTGGAGTAGAGGGCGGAGTCAGTCCCCACACAAAGAGGCTACGACTGGGGTCAGCGGTCGAGGGCGGAGTCAGTCCCCACACAGAGAGGCTGCGACCAAGGTCAGAGGTCGAGGGCGGAGTCAGTCCCCACACAGAGAGGCTGCAGCCGGGGTCAGAGGTCAAGCTGGAGGCCAAGAGAAGCTGCAGGTAGAGTCACCAGACTTCCCTGAAGAACCTGCTAATTTTAAGTTCTGCTCTGTGTGTTGGAAGCTGATTCATACAATCTACAGTACAGTCATTTATTCTGCTGTTCAAAGACAAATACATTTCAATTTCAATTTTATTTGTATAGCACCAATTCATAACAGAAGTTATCTCAGGACACTTTTCAAATAGAGCAGGTCTAGACCGAACTCTTTAACATTAATTACAGAGACCCAACAGTACCACCATGAGCAAGCACTTGGCGACAAGGGCAAGGAAACACTGCCTGTTAAAAGGCAGAAACCTAGGACAGATCCTTCAGCTCTAGGTGGGTGGTTGTCTAACTAATTAAATAACTTTACTTTATTAAATAACTTTATTTTATTGAATACCTTTATTAAATAACGCAGATTTTTCCACTGTTTAATAAATGTGTCAGGAACAATTAAACTTAAACTTAAAAAAGCAGGAAAACTAATTTTAATGTACAAACTGAAAAGGACCCAACACAGTTACTTGGGGGATTCCTTCCTGTGGTGGTTGTTTATTTAGTGAAGGTTAAATGTTAAATTTAAGTTTATCTGTTCAAACTACAACAAACATTTTAGGTTGGACCTGAACCCTGACACCAACCTTGATCCCAGCTCAGACCAGGACTCTGACCCTGGTCCAGATCCTGACCCTTGGGCGCCGGGTCCTGGTTTTGTCCTGGTGGTCTCTGACAGTGAGGTGAGATCTGGGACTGTAACTGAACGAGGAAAGTTAATATATTGACATTATTTCTGTCTGTAGTTTGATTCCAACAGCAGCTTGTCTGTCTGTCTGTCTGTCTGTCTGTCTGTGTGTGTGTGTGTCTGTGTGTGTGTGTGTGTGTGTGTGTGTCTGTGTATCTGTGTCTGTGTCTGTGTCTGTGTGTGTGTGTGTGTGTGTGTGTGTGCGTGTGTGCGTGCGCGCGCAGGTCTGTGGGAGGATCAGGGAGGTCCGACGGACTCCAGTGTCTCTTAATGAGTATCTGCAGCTCAGTCTGGAGGAGGTAACACACCAACACTGACCACACAGTCCCACTACCTTACGTAACGTAAGTACAGTACGTTACTGGGAGTAGAGTGTGTTACTGGGAGTAGAGTATGTTACTGGGAGTACCTTACTGGGAGTACCTTACTGGGAGTAGAGTACTGGGAGGTCATTACTGGGAGTACCTTACTGGGAGGTCGTTACTGGGAGTACCTTACAAGTTACGTTACTGGGAGTACGTTTATCTGTTGATCACCCCTGTACCGGGTCAGCCGGTAGGGGGCGTGGCCTCCTGACTGCACCTTAACAGCTGTCTGTCTACTTACAGGCCTTCTTCCTGGTCTACAGTCTGGGCTGCCTGTCTGTCTACCTGCATCAGGTAACTGTCTGTCTGAGTTAAAGGATAAATCAGTTTCATTTGATGTCTTATTTTATTGTTTTGTCCAACATTTAATTGATTTCAGTTTTGTTGGTACTTTAATCGGAAATGTTTTGTCTGACTTCCTGTTCCTGTATATTTTTATCTATGACTAAATTAATAAAATTTGGTTCAAATTCCAAATAAATTCACAAAATTAAGAAAACATTTTTCACTGTCAAACAAAGATGACCTCATCTATGTCCTGTGATTGGTCAGGAGCCCCTGTCAATCATCCAGCTGTGGAGGAAGTTCCGGTCTCTGCGGCCCGACTTCGTCAGTTCGTTCGCAGCCTACCAGCACTTCCGGAGTCGGGGCTGGGTCCCTAAAGGGGGGGGCGGGGCCAAGTACGGCGTCGACCTCAGTAAGACACACACATACACATACACATACACATACAGGCAGACAGCCTTAGTCAGAACACTGTAGCCCCCCCAGGGTTGTACAGGGTGGGGTGGTGGTCTGTGAGGGAGACCTGCTACCACAGTAAACACCAACACTCCCCTGCTGCTCTGACAGGTAAGCTAACTAGTTAACAGTGGTTACTTTACTGTCCATCAGGAAACTCTGTTAAAGCAAATAGAAAATATTTTCTCCATAAAGTCGGATCTGGTTTCACCAGAATCCCGGACAGAGTTGGTGGTATTTAACTTTAAAGCATTACGCACTTTTACGGAGGAACCCTGTTACCGTCAGTGGAACATCAACAGCATTCGGTAATGAGCTGTTTTACAGCTGCTCTTAGAAAGTATGTTTCTGATCACAGCTCTGATCCCTCAGACCACTTCCTGAGGTGGTCTGGGACTCATTAGACCACATATATTTTGTAGTGTAAAGTCTAAAGAGTCCTGGTCCTCCTCACTGATGTCCTGTCAGAACAGAAACTGTGTTTGGTTCACTCTGACAGAAGATGGTTGTTAGTAACCTCAATATCACCAGACTCCATTCACAAATCACTGCGTTTAACAGTCACTCACATTGTATATTTATATATGTTATATTTCTCATAAATTGTGGAAACGTTCCACATGAAGTTGTTCCTTGAGTTATTTCCAGCGTGTTGTCTGGACGGCAGTCCAACGTCCTCTCCTGCGTCCACTGTAAGAGACCGTTGGACAGTTACTGTCTCTGACATTAATGTCTGTCTGCATCGTCTGAGCGCTCAAACATCAGATTAACACTCAGGTACAGTCCTACAGAGCAGGAAGGTCAGTGGAGACAGGTCCTAACACCAGCTGTAAACTGGACCTATGTTGCTTTAATGGCGCGTTCCAGTACAACCAGCCAGGTTAGCCATTAGCCATTGTTAGCAACACCAGCTGCAGTTGGACGCTGTTCTGTGTACGACGGATTTAATGAGACATAAAAGTGCTAATAAACAGAATGTTTCTGCAGCCAGCTGAGGTCTGGAGCAGCCATCTTAGAGGTTAGGGTTCAGGATGAAACTGGTTCATCATCAGTACAACAGCTGTCAATCATCACAACACAGGAGGCGGAGCCTGAACAGAGATTAACATCCGGTCTGTGAACGTCTCCTTTTCTTTGTTTACAGTGTTGTACAGGAAGGGCCCGCCCTTTTACCATGCCAGGTAACACACACACACACCACTCTCTACCTTCATCTTTCAAATAAACAGCTGTTTGCCACAGATTGTCCCTCTCCTCTTCCTCTAGTTATTCTGTGGTAATTGAGCGGGCTGATGATGCGTTCAGGGGCTCTGGGTTGCGTCCGTTTTCGTGGCGTTCTCTGGCGGCTCTCAGCAGGATCACATCCAACGTGTCCAAGGTAACACCTGGTTCACATAGGCCACCTGAGAGAGAGAGAGAGACAGACGGACAGACAGACAGACGGGGAAAGACAGAGAGAGAGAGAGAGAGAGAGAGAGAGAGACAGACGGACAGACAGACAGACAGACGGGGAAAGACAGACAGAGAGAGAGAGAGAGACAGACGGACAGACAGACAGACGGGGAAAGACAGACAGAGAGAGAGAGACAGACAGACAGACGGGGAAAGACGAGAGAGAGAGAGACAGACGGACAGACAGACAGACGGGGAAAGACAGAGAGAGAGAGAGACAGACGGACAGACAGACGGGGAAAGACAGACAGAGAGAGAGAGAGACAGACGGACAGACAGACAGACGGGGAAAGACGAGAGAGAGAGAGACAGACAGACAGACGGGGAAAGACAGAGAGAGAGAGAGACAGACGGACAGACAGACAGACGGGGAAAGACAGAGAGAGAGAGAGACAGACGGACAGACAGACAGACAGACGGGGAAAGACAGACGAGAGAGAGAGAGACAGACGGACAGACAGACAGACGGGGAAAGACAGAGAGAGAGAGAGAGAGACAGACGGACAGACAGACAGACTGGGAAAGACAGAGAGAGAGAGAGACAGACGGACAGACAGACAGACAGACGGGGAAAGACAGACAGAGAGAGAGAGAGACAGACGGACAGACAGACAGACGGGGAAAGACAGACAGAGAGAGAGAGACAGATGGACAGACAGACAGACAGACGGGGAAAGACAGAGAGAGAGAGAGACAGACGGACAGACAGACAGACGGGGAAAGACAGAGAGAGAGAGAGAGAGAGAGAGACAGACAGACAGACAGACAGACGGGGAAAGACAGAGAGAGAGAGAGACAGACGGACAGACAGACAGACGGGGAAAGACAGAGAGAGAGAGAGACAGACGGACAGACAGACAGACGGGGAAAGACAGAGAGAGAGAGAGAGATGGACGGACAGACAGACAGACAGAGAGAGAGAGAGACGGACGGACAGACAGACAGACAGACAGAGAGCGAGAGAGACAGACGGACAGACAGACAGACGGGGAAAGACAGAGAGAGAGACAGAGAGACAGACAGACAGACGGGGAAAGACAGAGAGAGAGACAGAGAGACAGACAGACAGACGGGGAAAGACAGAGAGAGAGAGAGATGGACGGACAGAGAGACAGACAGACAACAGACAGACAGAGAGAGAGAGAGAGAGACAGACGGTCAGACAGACAGACGGGGAAAAACGAGAGAGAGAGAGAGAGAGAGATGGACGGACAGACAGACAGACAGACAGACAGACAGTTTTCATTCACTGCCTGTCTCACAGGAGCTGATGCTGTGTTACATCATCTATCCAGCCGACCTATCAGAGGCTGAGCTGGACTCACCTGTGTGTCTGAGCAGACTGAAGGTTCAGGTAACCGTTTGTTTTTCTTCTTATGTTTAGGTTGTGAAGAATTGTTGGAAAATGAGCAGTTTTTAATCAATAACTGATGATCAGTTGATTGATTGATCAGTTGAGCTTTAGTTCTGTTTGCTGTGATTAAATCTTCGTCTGTGTTGTTGAATTAATTACGTTTTCCCCCCAACAGGAAGTGATCGTCAGCAGGTGGGTTTCCTCCAGAGAACGAGCGGAGCAGGACGACATCTGATTGGCCGACAGGAGACTTGAGAAACTGATGAGGTCATAAAGAGACTGATGACATCATTCAAAACTGGAACAGAGAATAAATAATATTTTCTGACTGAAAGCTCAGATGTCTGAGTGTCCCTGAAGGCAGCGATCGGTCAGAGAGATCATTAACACTCAGCTGATACAGGAAGTAGCAGTGTATAATCAATAATCAATAATTAATAAATATTTAGAACTTCACTCAGCACTGAAAGACGCTTGTCTGTTTTTATTTACTTTATAAACTGATACTGTGTGTGTGTGTGTGTGTACTCTGTGTACTGTGCAGAGTATTATATGTATATCGTTATCATTATTATGATTGTTATTCTTACTATTGTTGTTGTTATTGTTATTATTGATGTTGCTGTTGTTATTATTGTTGTTGTTGTTGTTGTTGTTGTTGATGTTGTTGTTGTTATTGTTGTTGTTATTGTTGTTGGTGTTGTTGTTATTGTTGTTATTATTATTATTGTTATTATTATTATTATTATTATGACTCCAGTGTTATGATCTCGCGGTCGCTCGTTCTCGCGATAACTGCGGACCCTGTATTCGCCATCAGAGCGTGGATCCGTGACGCGAGTGGCAACGGCTGAAGAGCGACCGTTAACCGGACAGAGCGACCCCCCCCGAGCCGCTGTGCTTCCAGGTAAGAGTCGGGTCTGCGCCCGCCGGTACCGAGCCGGTAACTGACCCGGTGGAAACAGCTGCTCGGCCCGGCTAGCTGGCAGCGGTAAGCTGTTGGCTGTGGAGGAGGTCTCAGGTGTACTTCACCTGACTCTCCGGTTGTTAACGGGACACTGAGCTAATGGCTAACAGCTAATGTAACCTTTGAACTGTGAGAGTGATGAGGAGACAGTCGTGTCTCACCCGGAAGTCATGCAGTCACTTTCCTCTGAAGCGTCACGTGAAGCGACGTCCGGTTCTGATCAAAGCTGGATGATCGATTAGCTGATACTGTAGTAATATTAATAGTATTAGATTTCACAATCAGAATCACTTTATTGATCAGATGTGTTATTATACATATATAAACAAACAATATACACATAAACATTATACATATACAAACAAACAATATACACATAAACATTATACATATATAAACAAACAATATACACTTAACAAACATTATACATATATAAACAAACAATATACACATAAACATTATACATATATAAACAAACATTATACACATAAACATTATACATATATAAACAAACATTATACACATAAACATACATATATAAACAAACATTATACACATGAACATTGTACATATATAAACAAACATTATACACAAACATTATACATATATAAACAAACATTATACACATAAACATTATACATATATAAACAAACAATATACACATAAACATTATACATATATAAACAAACATTATACACATAAACATTATACATATATAAACAAACAATATACACATAAACATTATACATATATAAACAAACATTATCATATAAAAAAATATACACATAAACATTATACATATATAAACAAACAATATACACATGAACATTATACATATATAAACAAACAATATACATAAATTATACACAAACATTATACATATATAAACAAACATACACATAAACATTATACATATATAAACAAACAATATACACATAAACATTATACATATATAAACAAACATTATACACATAAACATTATACATATATAAACAAACATTATACACATAAACAGACATATATAAACAAACATTATACACATAAACATTGTACATATATAAACCAACATTATACACATAAACATTATACATATATAAACAAACATTATACATATAAACAGACATTATACATATATAAACAAACAATATACACATAAACATTATACATATATAAAACAATATACACATAAACATTATACATATATAAACAAACAATATATACATAAACAGTATACATATATAAACAAACAATATACACATAAACATTATACATATATAAACAAACATTATACACAAACATTATACATATATAAACAAACAATATACACATAAAAATTATACATATATAAACAAACATTATACACATAAACATTATACATATATAAACAAACATTATACACATAAACATTATACATATATAAACAAACAATATACACATAAACATTATACATATATAAACAAACATTATACACATAAACATTATACATATATAAACAAACAATATACACATAAACATTATACATATATAAACAAACAATATACACATAAACATTATACATATATAAACAAACAATATACACATAAACATACATATATAAACAAACATTATACACATAAACATACATATATAAACAAACATTATACACATAAACATTATACATATATAAACAAACAATATACACATACACATTATACATATATAAACAACCATTAAACATATATAAACAAACAATATACACATAAACAAACATACATATATAAACATACATCATACATATATAAACAAACATTATGCATATATAAACAAACAATATACATATAAACAGACATTATACATATATAAACAAACAATATACACATAAACATTATACATATATAAACAAACAATATACACAAACATTATACATATATATACATTATACACATAAACATACATATATAAACAAACAATATACACATAAACATACATATATAAACAAACATACATATACAAACAATATACACATAAACAAACATACATATATAAACATACATTATACATATATAAACAAACATTATACATATAAACATACATATATAAACATACATTATACATATACAAACAAACAATATACACATAAACAAACATTATACATATATAAACAAACAATATACACAAACAAACATTGTGCATATATAAACAAACAATATACACAAACAAACATTGTGCATATATAAACAAACAAACATACATATATAAACAAACATTATACATATATAAACAAACAATATATACATAAACAAACATACATATATAAGCAAACATTGTACATATATAAACAAACAATACACATAAACAAACATACATATATAAACAAACAATATACATATATAAACAAACAATATACATATAAACAAACATACATATAAACAAACATACATATATAGACAGACATTATACATATGTAAACAAACAATATACACATAAACAAACATTATTGCATATATAAACAAACATTATACATATATAAACAAATATTATACATATATAAACAAACAATATACACATAAACAAACATTATGCATATATAAACAAACATACATACATAAACAAACATACATATAAACAAACATTATACACATATATAAACAAACATGCATATAAACAAACAAACATACATTTATAAACAAGCATTATACAGATATATAAACAAGCATTATACACATAAACAAACATTATACATATAAACAAACATTATACACATATATACACAAACATGCATAAAAACAAACATATAAACAAACATTATACACATCTATAAACAAACATGCATATAAACAAACATTATACATTTATAAACAAACATTATACACATATATAAACAAACATGCATATAAACAAACATTATACATTGATAAACAAACATACAACATAGTTTCAGTCTTCTTCCATACAGCATGATGTTCATTTAGTAAATGATGGTCCCATTTAGTAAAACAGACCATAAAGCAGGGTATGCAGGTTCAGTACAGGATCAATACAGGATATGAATAAAAACCTACAATACCTCCCTCCCTCCCTGTCCCTCCCTCTTTCCCTACCTCCCTCCCCCAGTATGGCAGATGACCTGGACATTGAGGCGATGCTGGAGGCTCCGTACAGGAAGGTGAGAGTCAGTCTGTCGTCTGTGTTCAGGAGACTATCAGCTGGACTCTGCTGCTCCTCAGACATTCATATAAACCAGATCAGGACGCACACCAAGACCCGAACATGGTTTACCTGCTCAGGTAAACTGTGGGCCACACCTCCCACCACCTCAACTGTTTATCACAAGAGCACGCACACAACTGACGAGTCCATTAATCAATTAGTTGGTAGAAAATTAATCCAGCTGTTGGATCGTTTTACAGCTGGTCTGCAGGCTGCTTCCTGCCTCTGAGCAGTAGAGTCAGGCTGATGATGATGTTATTGATGATGTTATTGATGATGATGATGATGATGATGATGATGATGGCGTTCCTTCACATACTGTCATGAATAAATTGCCCGTCTATCTCTCTTTGTAGACTTGCCTAACGATTTCTCACCTCTACTCCCCTGAATGCCAGTGTGATCTGTCACAAACATGAAGGTAGTAAAAAGCCCCCATCATGCATTGCTGTACTGTGGTCCCCATGGTAACATGACTGTGTTCCCTCGGTAACTGTAAACTTGTCACCTGGTTGGTTTTCGGCCAGACTGTGGCCCTGATCGGGAACAGCTGAGGATTCTGGGGAGAGTCAGACTTCATAGCAGCTAGGGTCAGAGTTAGCCGTTAGCTTAGCATAAGCAGCTGGGACTTTGAGTTGAGTGACTAAGACTCATGTCTGCTTCAGGGCCCCTTCAGACGAGTCCCAGCTCCTAAAACCAGTACAGCACCCCCCCGGCTGAAGAAGAGCTGGACTGTGGAGTCTGCTGTCCGAGCTCCACCCACCCTGACCCCCCTCCACACACACACACACACACACACACACACACACACACACACACACACACACATATATATATGAACTGCAGCCTGGGACTGACTGACTGACCTTTGACCTCTGACCCCCCCCACAGAACAGTGTGTTTGAATGACTCATTAAATTCTGTTTATATTCTCTCCTGCCCCCCAACCCCCTCCCTGAATGTTGCGTCTGCCTCCTCATGCTGTTCTCTGTCGACCTTAGGAGGAAACCAAGAGCCTGAGCCCCAACATACAGGACGACCGCATCAAGAGGTATACACACCTGTCTGTCTGTCCACCTGCACCATACACTGTTTATATTCCTCCCAGTGAACACAAGTGAAGCCAAAACATCCCGAATACGGCCGCCGCCATCTTGTTATAGGGAGTCTGAGTGGTAGTGATCGGGGTGGAGGCGGAGTTGTGACCTGTCGCGCTCTGATTTGCTGAGCTGGACGATGACGTTCTGCTGACAGAAAACAGGACGTTTCTACTGTCGTCAGCAAATTAGCTCAAAATTATTAAAAATCCGCTGTGGAGGGTTTAGTGACCCCCCCCCCCCTTCAAGAACAAAGGAGAACCTACAGTAGCCACAAAAAATCTGTTCAACATGGCAGACTGCCGGAAATGGACCCGGTATAGGACATGGTATAGGACCCAGTATAGGACACGGTATAGGACCCGGTATAGGACCCGGAAGAGGACCTGGAAGAGGACCCTGTATAGGACCTGGTATAGAACCTGGAAGAGGACCTGGAAGAGGACCCGGTATAGGACCCAGTATAGGACTCGCTCTCTCTGTAGATAAAAACGTAAAAAACTGTTCTTATGTTCAGGTGATTATTCAGTAATGAAAACATAGCTGTGGATATTATATTACAGTGACACACTGGAGCTTTAATAAACACAGTCTGTTTGTTCACAGTACAACAGAGTTCCCACTCATCCTGGAAAACAGGGGAGATGTGCAGACTAGTTTTTTTGGGTAATTAGATGATGTTGGCAACTGTGTATCCAACAGGAAGAGGCGCAGCCACAGTCGCAACAGGAGCCGCAGCAGGAGTCGAGACAGGAAGAGGAGCCGCAGTCGAGAGCGCAAACGCAGCCGCAGCAGAGACAAGCGAAGAAGTCACAGCAGCAGAGAGAGGGGGGGGCGCTACAGAGACCACCACAAGCAGTGAGTACCTGTCTGTCCAGTTCCTGTCTGTCCACTTCCTGTCTGTCCAGAGTCTCAACCGATTCATTGAGTGATTTTTATATTCAAAGGTTTATGATAAAGATGGAGTAGATTTTTTTTAATGTTTATCATTAAGCTTTGAATATTCAAATGACTGAAGAAATCGGTGGAGAAATATAAACGTTATAGTGCTTTTTATCCCTGGTTTACTGTATTTGTTTACCAATATGGCAATGACGTTGACGTATACTAGCAACGGACCAAAGCGACCAATGCAGCGTCTGTTTGTTATGTCTGTGTCAGGTGCTGATAACGGTGTAACAGTGTCAGTAGTTACTGCGCCTCCCCATCTCAAAAGACCTTAAAACGTCCTAAAGATTAGAGCCAGAAACCTCTGACTGACTGTCTGTGTGTTTGCAGCCGTCGGCGGTTGAAGAGTAAGAGTCCAATCAGGAAAGAGAAGAATCCAATCAGGTGAGAGAGTTCATAACGAAGTGTTTATGACAAACAAAGCTAACTCACTCTGACAGTCTGTCTGTCTGTCTGTCTGTCTGTCTGCCTCTGTTCAGGCAGCCGATAGATAACCTGACTCCAGAGGAGCGTGATGCGCGAACCGTCTTCTGTATGCAGCTGGCGGCCAGGATTAGACCTCGAGACCTGGAGGAGTTCTTCTCTGCAGTGGGGAAGGTACGAGGCAGACGACCACCCACCTAGAGTCAGGGTCTGTCCGAGGTTTCTGCCTCTTAAAAGGACGTTTTTCCTTGCTGCTGTCTCCAAGTGCTTGCTCATGGTGGGAACTGTTGGGTCTCTGTAAATAATGTTATAAAGAGTTCGGTCTAGACCTGCTCTATTTGAAAAGTGTCCTGAGATAACTTCCGTTATGAATCGGTGCTATACAAATAAAACTGAATTGAATTAAATTGACTCTACAACAGACCAAAGGTAACCACTGACTCTCCAACAGACCGAAGGTAACCACTAATTCTACAACAGACCGAAGGTTACCACTGACTCTACAACAGGCCGAAGGTTACCACTGACTCTACAACAGGCCAAATGTAACCACTGACTCTACAACAGGCCGAAGGTAACCACTGACTCTGCAACAGACCGAAGGTTACCACTGACTCTACAACAGGCCGAATCTACTCATACATACCTGGACACTCTTATTCTTTTTTTGTGCAATAACTTAATCCACCACTTCGGTGCAATAATTAATTAATTAATTCAATTTAACTGCTAATTTCTGCTAATGTCTTTTATCCACTGTACAATAACACGATCAATAAAGAGAAGTCTAAGTCTAAACAGACCGAAGTTAACCACTGACTGAATCCGAACAGCCAATCAGACGAGTAAAACAGCAGTTGTATGATTCACTGGTTGCTGGTTTCTTTGAAAGCACCACGGCAGACACTTTACTTTAAAAGGTGTGGCTGTTGGTGGGGATGGCAGTCTTTGTTGCCGTGGTAACATCTGCTGCGGTCCCTACGCAGGTTCGGGATGTGAGGATGATCTCGGACAGGAACTCCCGCAGGTTGAAGGGCATCGACTACATTGAGTTTGTGGAGGCCAACTCAGTTCCTCTGGCCATCTGACTGACGGGGAAAAGGCTGCTGGGAGTTCCCATCATCGTACAGGCCTCACAGGTACACACAGTGTGTGTGTGTGTGTGTGTGTGTGTGTGTGTGTGTGTGTGTGTGTGTTACTGTCTGTGTGTGTGTGTGTGTTCAGGCAGAGAAGAACCGAGCAGCAGCAGCCAACAACCTGCAGAAAGGAACATCAGGACCGATGAGGTTGTACGTCGGTTCTCTGCACTTCAACGTCACCGAGGAGATGCTGAGAGGAATCTTTGAGCCATTTGGTAGGGTCAGACACACACACACACACACACACACACACACACACAGTACAACATATACTGAAACAGATATATAAAATATATATGTTTATATATATATATATATATTAGAACATATATATAAACACATATATTATATAGTAGCATTCCAACAGTTCCGTGTTTTCCACCATTGTTGCTTATTCCATGAGGAAGCCGCAAGGAAGTCAACCACAACCAAATACCTCCAGAGAGTAAGGCAGGTCCTGAAAAGTCAGCTGAATGATGAAAGATCCAAGCCATCAACATGTACACACTACCAGTCATCAGATACCCTGCTGGGATCATAAGCTGGCCAAAGGAGGAGATAGAAGCCACAGATATCAAGACAAGAAAGCTCCTCACCATGCATGGAGGGTTTCACCCCAAATCCAGCACCCTGAGACTGTACGCTAAGCGGAAAGAGGGAGGCCGAGGACTAGTGAGCATCAAGGCCGCTATCCAGGATGAAACATCAAAAATCCAAGAGTACATCAGTAAAATGGCCACAAAGGATGAACTGCTAAGTGAATATCTCAGGCAACAGAAACCCGATAAGAGTGCAGAAGAAGAAGAGGAGCAGACAACCTGGAGGGACAAGCCCCTACATGGCACGTACCACCGCCAAATTGAAGAAGTGGCTGATATCGAGAAGACCTACCAATGGCTGGAAAACGCTGGACTCAGAGACAGCACAGAGGCACTGATCATGGCAGCACAAGAACAGGCCCTAGGTACAAGAGCCATAGAGGCCAAGATATACAAGAGCAGATCTGACCCAAGGTGCAGACTATGCAAAGATGCCCCTGAGACAGTCCAGCACATAGTAGCAGGGTGTAAGATGCTAGCCGGGTCAGTGTACATGGAGAGACACAACCAAGTGGCTGGAATAGTGTACAGGAACATCTGTACCCAGTATGGAATAGAAGTACCCAAATCCCAATGGGCTGCACCACAGAAGGTGGCTGAGAACAACAGGGCCAAGGTGCTGAGGGACTTCAGCTTCCAGACTGACAAACAGGTCCTGGCCAACCAATTCAATTTCAATTTTCAATTCAATTTTATTTGTATAGCGCCAATTCATAACAGAAGTTATCTCAGGACACAAACCAACCGGACATAGTGGTGGTAGACAAGGAGCAGAAGAAGGCGGTGGTGATAGATGTGGCCATACCAGCAGACGCCAACATCAGAAAGAAGGAACACAAAAAGGTTGAAAAGTACCAAGGGTTGAAAGAACAGCTGGAGCAGATGTGGAAGGTCAAGGCGAGCGTGATCCCCGTGGTAGTAGGAGCACTCGGGGCAGTGACCCCCAAACTGGGGGAGTGGCTCCAACAGATCCCAGGAACAACATCAGAAGCCTCAGTCCTGAAGAGCGCAGTCCTAGGAACAGCTAAGATACTGCGCAGAACCCTCAAACTCCCAGGCCTCTGGTAGAGGACCCGAGCTTGAGGATGACACAGATATCACCCCAAGAGGGTGAGAGGGAAGTTATTTGTTTTTTTTTATAGATGAAATTAACTCCTGTCTCTGTGTGTGTGTGTGTGTGTGTGGGTGTGTGTGTGTTGTCTCACAGATTGAGAGCATCCAGCTGATGATGGACAGTGAGACAGGACGCTCTAAAGGCTACGGCTTCATCACTGTGAGTTCTTCATCATTAGATCTGATTAATACCTGATCTTTCCAAACAGGAAACAGTCTGCAGGGTTCACTTGGTGGTTAACAGAATGTCCTTCAAAAATAAAATCAAAATATCAACTTACAATCAAAGGCCACTGATGTCCACAGGTATTATTATTATTATTGTTGTTGTTATTATTATTATTGTTGTTATTATTGTTGTTATTATTGTTGTTATTATTGCTGTTCTTCTTCTTCTTATTATTATTATTATTACTTTAACTGTCTCTGATCTGTCTGTCTGTCTCTGACCTGTCTGTCAGTTTGCAGATGCAGAGTGTGCTAAGAAAGCTCTGGAGCAGCTCAACGGCTTTGAGTTAGCGGGTCGACCAATGAAAGTCGGTCATGTTACGGAGCGGACCGATGCGACTACGGCGTCCTCTTTTCTCGACAACGACGAGCTCGAACGCGCCGGCATCGACCTTGGAACCACCGGACGACTGCAGCTGATGGCCCGCCTTGCTGAGGGTATGCACACACCTGTAACATCCACCTGTAGATATTCACCTGTAGATATTCACCTGCAACATCCACCTGCAACATCCACCTGTAACATCCACCTGTATATACTCACCTGTATATACTCACCTGTAACATCCACCTGTAGATATTCACCTGTAGATACTCACCTGTAACATCCACCTGTAGATATTCACCTGTAACATCCACCTGTAGATACTCACCTGTAACATCCACCTGTAACATCTACCTGTATATACTCACCTGTAACATCCACCTGTATATACTCACCTGTAACATCCACCTGTAGATATTCACCTGTAACATCCACCTGTAGATACTCACCTGTAACATCCACCTCTAACATCCACCTGTATATACTCACCTGTAACATCCACCTGTAGATACTCACCTGTAACATCCACCTGTAACATCTACCTGTATATACTCACCTGTAACATCCACCTGTAGATATTCACCTGTAACATCCACCTGTAACATCCACCTGTAACATCCACCTGTATATACTCACCTGTAACATCCACCTGTATATACTCACCTGTAACATCCACCTGTAGATATTCACCTGTAACATCCACCTGTAGATACTCACCTGTAACATCCACCTCTAACATCCACCTGTATATACTCACCTGTAACATCCACCTGTAGATACTCACCTGTAACATCCACCTGTAACATCCACCTGTAGACATCCACCTGTAGACATCCACCTGTAGATACTCACCTGTAACATCCACCTGTAACATCCACCTGTAGACATCCACCTGTAGATACTCACCTGTAACATCCACCTGTAGACATCCACCTGTAGACATCCACCTGTAAATACTCACATGTAACATCCACCTGTAACATCCACCTGTATATACTCACATGTAACATCCACCTGTAACATCCACCTGTAACATCCACCTGTAGACATCCACCTGTAGATACTCACCTGTAACATCCACCTGTAGACATCCACCTGTAGACATCCACCTGTAAATACTCACATGTAACATCCACCTGTAACATCCACCTGTAACATCCACCTGTAACATCCACCTGTAGACATCCACCTGTAGATACTCACCTGTAACATCCACCTGTAGACATCCACCTGTAGACATCCACCTGTAAATACTCACATGTAACATCCACCTGTAACATCCACCTGTATATACTCACCTGTAACATCCATATGTAATGTGTGTCCTTACCTGTGCAGGTACAGGTCTCCAGATCCCTCCTGCAGCTCAGCAGGCTCTGCAGATGAGTGGAGCGATCGCTATAGGAGCCATGGCTGCTGTGTCAGGTACACATACACAAACAGTGACAGCCCTCTTCACTTCCTGTTTGAACTAATTAGCTCCGCCTCCAGTGACTGACGAGTAACCAGCATCAAGTTCAGTGTCTCTGTTTAAATAAAGTTATAATGTCAGTGAGGGTTTAAATAAAGTTATAATGTCAGTGAGGGTTTAAATAAAGTTATAATGTCAGTGAGGGTTTAAATAAAGTTATAATGTGTGGAGGTTTAAAATAAAGTTATAATGTCAGTGGAGGGTTTAAATAAAGTTATAATTTGTAGGGTTTAAATAAAGTTATAATGTCAGTGAGGGTTTAAATAAAGTTATAATGTGTGAGGGTTTAAATAAAGTTATAATGTCAGTGAGGGTTTAAATAAAGTTATAATGTAGTGAGGGTTTAAAAAAAGTTATAATGTCAGTGAGGGTTTAAATAAAGTTATAATGTCAGGGAAAAAAAAGAGTGAGGGTTTAAATAAAGTTATAATGTCAGTGAGGGTTTAAATAAAGTTATAATGTCAGTGAGGGTTTAAATAAAGTTATAATGTCAGTGGAGGGTTTAAATAAAGTTATAATGTCAGTGAGGGTTTAAATAAAGTTATAATGTCAGTGAGGGTTTAAATAAAGTTATAATGTCAGTGAGGGTTTAAATAAAGTTATAATGTCAGTGAGGGTTTAAATAAAGTTATAATGTCAGTGAGGGTTTAAATAAAGTTATAATGTCAGTGGGGGTTTTAAAAAAAGTTAAAAAGAGGGTTAAAAAAATAAAATGTAGTGAGGGTTTAAATAAAGTTATAATGTCAGTGAGGGTTTAAATAAAGTTATAATGTATGAGGGAAAAAAAAAATAAGTTATAATGTCAGTGAGGGTTTAAATAAAGTTATAATGTCAGTGAGGGTTTAAATAAAGTTATAATGTCAGTGGAGGGTTTAAATAAAGTTATAATGTCAGTGAGGGTTTAAATAAAGTTATAATGTCAGTGAGGTTTAAATAAAAAAAATGAGGGTTTAAATAAAGTTATAATGTCAGTGAGGGTTTAAATAAAGTTATAATGTCAGTGAGGGTTTAAATAAAGTTATAATGTCAGTGAGGGTTTAAATAAAGTTATAATGTCAGTGTTTAAATAAAGTTATAATGTCAGTGGAGGGTTTAAATAAAGTTATAATGTCAGTGGGGGGTTTAAATAAAGTTATAATGTCAGTGAGGGTTTAAATAAAGTTATAATGTCAGTGAGGGTTTAAATAAAGTTATAATGTCAGTGAGGGTTTAAATAAAGTTATAATGTCGTTAGTGAGGGTTTAAATAAAGTTATAATGTCAGTGGAGGGTTTAAATAAAGTTATAATGTCAGTGAGGGTTTAAATAAAGTTATAATGTCATGGAGGGTTTAAATAAAGTTATAATGTCAGTGAGGGTTTAAATAAAGTTATAATGTCAGTGAGGGTTTAAATAAAGTTATAATGTCAGTGAGGGTTTAAATAAAGTTATAATGTCAGTGAGGGTTTAAATAAAGTTATAATGTCAGTGGAGGGTTTAAATAAAGTTATAATGTCAGTGAGGGTTTAAATAAAGTTATAATGTCAGTGAGGGTTTAAATAAAGTTATAATGTCAGTGAGGGGTTTAATAAAGTTTATGTTAAGGGGTTTAATAAAGTTTAATGTGGGGTTTAAATAAAGTTATAATGTCAGTGAGGGTTTAAATAAAGTTATAATGTCAGTGAGGGTTTAAATAAAGTTATAATGTCAGTGAGGGTTTAAATAAAGTTATAATGTCAGTGAGGGTTTAAATAAAGTTATAATGTCAGTGAGGGTTTAAATAAAGTTATAATGTCAGTGAGGGTTTAAATAAAGTTATAATGTCAGTGAGGGTTTAAATAAAGTTATAATGTCAGTGAGGGTTTAAATAAAGTTATAATGTCAGTGAGGGTTTAAATAAAGTTATAATGTCAGTGAGGGTTTAAATAAAGTTATAATGTCAGTGAGGGTTTAAATAAAGTTATAATGTCAGTGAGGTTTAAATAAGAAATGTCAGTGAGGGTTTAAATAAAGTTATAATGTCAGTGAGGGTTTAAAATTAAAGTTTAATGTGTGAGGGTTTAAATAAAGTTATAATGTCAGTGAGGGTTTAAATAAAGTTATAATGTCAGTGAGGGTTTAAATAAAGTTATAATGTGTTTGAATCCAGCTCTCAACATGAACTCTGCAGCTCTGAATATTCCCTCTCAGCCTCTGGCCACTCACTGCTTCCAACTGTCCAACATGTTCAACCCCAACAGGTAAATACACACCTGTCTGTGGATACACCTGTCTGTGGATACACCTGTCTGTGGATACACCTGTCTGTGGATATACCTGTCTGTGGATACACCTGTCTGTGGATACACCTGTCTGTCTGTTGCAGTGAGGAGGTTCCTGGTTGGGAGATGGACATCCAGCATGATGTCATAGAGGAGTGTAACAAACATGGAGGAGTCGTGCACATCTACGTTGACAAGAACTCTGCTGAGGTACCATCTGACCTCTGACCCCCTTTGTCACTTTCCTTAAATCGCTCCTTTTTTCTCTGGACTTTGGTTACGCTGAGACTCCTCAGGTTGACCTCTGACCTCTGCTCCTTTTCAGAGAAATGTCTACGTCAAGTGTCCGTCCATCCCCGCCGCCATGGCTTCCGTCAACACTCTACACGGAAGATACTTTGCCGGTAAGACTTCCTGTCACATGACACGTGCTGTGTGCTGTGGGCCAATCAGAGAGCAGCTCTGACATCTCACCTGTTGTTTCAGGTAAGATTATCACGGCGGCGTATGTCCCACTGCCCACCTACCACAACCTGTTCCCAGAGTCCGCCACCGCCACACAGCTGCTGGCCCCGCCCCCTAGGTGGTGACTCATGACACAGCTCCGCCCCCTGATCAGACTCTTTTATAGTCTCGTCTCCAATTGATCGACACAGAAGAGTTCATTTCTGTCAAAGAACACTGGCGAAGGACGACGTTTGTGTTCCTTCCTGTTTACTTCCTGTTTGGTCTCATTTATTCTCGTTATTGTCCAATGATTGTCCAATGATTGAGCTCTGTGAGCTGTGATGGTGTCAGCTGATGCTTTAAAGATATTCAGTGGTTTTCTAAAAATAATTTTATTTTGTAAAATTGTTGATTAAATTTTATTTTGAAGTCTCTTCTGTGCGTTCTTCTGCTGACAGGAAGTGTCACTTAGGGTGACTTTATTTGTACCCAGAGGTAGATTTGGTTTGCAGTTAAAGGAATTCCTCTTGACAACAATATAAAAACAACAACAACTCAGACAACAGACAAACACAATATAAAGATGAAAAAGATAAAAGTGCTCGCGGCTCTAAAAATCTGGATTTCCAAAGAGAGATCAATAGAATAAATAACCAGCAGAATAAACAACCAATAGAATAAATAACCAGTAGAATAAACAACCAATAGAATAAATAACCAGTAGAATAAACAACCAATAGAATAAAATAACCAGTAGAATAAACAACCAATAGAATAAATAACCAGTAGAATAAACAACCAATAGAATAAAATAACCAGTAGAATAAACAACCAATAGAATAAATAACCAGTAGAATAAACAACCAATAGAATAAATAACCAGTAGAATAAACAACCAATAGAATAAAATAACCAGTAGAAGATAACGTTAATAATTTGCAAGCTGCTAAAATAAAGCATACAAACATCAGCTAAAATGATCTATAGGCTATATGATTATAATCAGAGCATGTGCATGTTTGTCAGTGATTTATTTATATTAGGTTATTACAGCATTTAAAGAGCACAGACCTACGCAAAGGAGGTGTATTTGTGAAACGCCTTGTAAGAAATGATGGACTCAAATATAAAGTTAACCGTCAAAGAAATCAGACGTTGTAGTACAGGAAACATTAGCCTATATAATCACAGCTTAAATAACATTAGCTTAACTCTTTATTTCCTATTATTAATTATGGTAATATTATGATTAAGTAAATGTTAGCTGCATATAGAGATGCTAAGTTAGTCACAAGTTATTGTTACTATCACACATAAACTATTTAGGTCCTCTGTTATGACAAATTTATCCCCATCATATTTTAAATATTTCCATTTTCTTCTGCTACAGAAGTCTGGAGCCACGGGCTCCGAAAGAGCAACTCCTCAAAGGCAGCACAGCCAACCCTCCAAGCTATGTTTGAGCAGCACAACAAGTACCCCAGGCATTATTATATTTAATCTTTTGAATGTTTACATTGTTTAATAAAATCACTGTTCATGTTTTTATTCAAAGTTCAGAATCAAGATAAAGTTATGTTTTCTCTTAGGTTTCTTATGATAACTGAGATAATGCTGCTAAATTTTTTATTTTTTTTACCTTGAATGTCATTGCTCTAATTTATTTTTTATATTTTTATATTTCATATTTTGTTCAAATGTTTCCACCACTGGCTGTCGAGGTGGTGTCCAGAAAACGATGTGGGCTTCATTGATAACTGGAAGCCTTTTTGGGGAAAACCTGGTCTGATTAGGAGAGACGGCATCCATCCCACTTTGGATGGAGCGGCTCTCTTATCTAGAAATATGGCGAAGTTTATTTCTAAAACCTGACAGTCCAGAGTTAGGACCAGGAAGCAGAGCTGCTGTCTTACACACTTCTCTGCGCTTTCTTTAGAACAGTCACCCACCCAAAACCCCATAGAGACTGTGTCTGTCCCCCGACCACCTAAATTATTTAAAGAAATAAAAACAAGAGGAGTTCAACATAAAAATCTAATAAAAATTAAAACCAACTCCTCAGTAGCACAAAATAAGAGAATGAAATGTGGGCTGTTAAATATCAGGTCTCTGTCCTCTAAAGCTGTTTTAGTGAATGAATTAATATCAGATTATGATATTGATTTACTTTGTCTTACTGAGACCTGGTTGTCCCACGAGGAGTATGTTAGCCTAAATGAATCCACCCCCCCCAGTCATATTAATACTCACATTCCTCGAGGCACTGGCCGAGGAGGTGGAGTAGCAGCCATATATGATTCGAGCGTTTTAATGGACCCTAAACCTAAACTAAATTATAATTCATTTGAAAGCCTTGTTCACAGTCTTTCTCACCCAAACTGGAAAACACTGCAGCCAGTTCTATTTGTTATAGTGTACCGCGCTCCTGGACCGTACTCTGATTTTATATCTGAATTCTCTGAGTTTTTATCAAGCTTAGTCCTTAAATCAGATAAAGTAATTATTGTAGGTGATTTTAATATTCATGTGGATGTTGACAATGACAGCCTTAGTAATGCATTTATATCATTAATAGACTCAATTGGCTTCTGTCAGAGTGTAAATAAACCAACTCATTGTTTTAATCACACTCTTGACCTTGTTTTATCATATGGCATTGATATTGAACATTTAATGGTCTTCCCACATAATCCTTTCCTATCTGACCATTATTTAGTAACTTTTGAATTCATACTATTAGATTATAAGCCATTAGGCAAAACTTCCTACAGCAGATGTCTATCTGACAGTGCTGTAGCTAAATTTAAGGAGGAGATTCCTTCAGTGTTTAATTCAATGCCATGTCTGAATTTAACAGAGTCCTATAAGGACTTTAGTCCCTCTGAAATTGATAATCTTGTTGATAGTGCTACAGGCTCACTACGATCAACATTAGACTCTATCGCTCCTATAAAAAGGAAATTATTAAAACATAGGAGACTAGCACCTTGGTACAACCACCAAACCCGCCAGTTAAAGCAAATAGCTAGAAAATCTGAAAGGAAATGGCGCTCTTCCAAATTATCAGAATATCGCTCAATTTGGCAAGATAATCTTAAAACCTATAGAAAGGCCCTCCGTAATGCCAGAGGAGCCTATTACTCAGCACTAATAGAAGAAAATAAGAACAACCCTAGGTTCCTCTTCAGCACTGTAGCCAGGCTGACAGAGAGTCACAGCTCTATCGAGCCACATATCCCCATAAACTTAAGTAGCAATGACTTCATGAGCTTCTTCTATAATAAAATTATTACTATAAGAGAAAAAATTAATCACCAACTGCCATCAACAGTTATCAGTGGCTCTCCAAGTTCAGGGACTTCTGTCAATGTAAACTTAGATGTATATTTAGACTGTTTTTCTGCTATCGATCTTCATCAGTTAACTTCAATCATTTCTTCATCGAAGCCATCAACCTGTCTATTAGACCCGATCCCAACTAGGCTGCTTAAAGAAGTTGTTCCCTTAATTGGCACTTCTTTACTGGATATGATTAATCTTTCTTTATTATCAGGATATGTACCACAGTCCTTTAAAGTAGCTGTAATTAAACCCCTTCTTAAAAAGTCCACTCTTGACCCAGGGGTTTTAGCCAACTATAGACCGATTTCTAACCTCCCCTTCCTCTCTAAGATTCTGGAGAAAGTAGTCGCCAAAGAGTTGTGTGACTTTCTACATAACAATAGTTTATTTGAGGACTTTCAGTCAGGATTTAGAGTTCATCATAGCACAGAGACAGCTCTGGTTAAAGTTAATAATGACCTTCTGACTGCTTCTGACAATGGACTTGTCTCTGTACTTGTATTATTAGATCTTAGTGCTGCATTTGACACCATTGACCATGATATTCTTTTACAGAGACTTGAGCATCAAATTGGCATTAAAGGAACTGCCCTAAGCTGGTTTAAGTCATACTTATCAGATCGTTCTCAGTTTGTACATGTTAACGATGAATCCTCCATAAATACTAAAGTTAGTCATGGAGTTCCACAAGGTTCTGTACTTGGACCAATACTATTTACTTTATATATGCTCCCTTTAGGCAACATTATTAGGAATCACTCCATTAACTTTCACTGTTATGCAGATGATACGCAGTTATATCTATCAATCAAACCCAATGAAATTAATCAATTATCTAAATTACAAACATGTCTTAAGGACATAAAATCCTGGATGACCTGCAATTTTCTGATGTTAAACTCAGAAAAAAACGAAATTCTTGTTCTTGGCCCCAAAAACCTTAGAGACTCATTGTCTAAAGATATAGTCACTCTAGATGGCATTAACTTGGCCTCTAGCACCACTGTCAGGAATCTTGGAGTTATCTTTGATCAGGATTTGTCATTTAACTCCCACATAAAGCAGACCTCTAGGACTGCCTTCTTTCATTTACGTAATATTAGAAAAATTAGACACATACTATCACAGACAGACGCAGAAAAACTAATCCATGCATTTGTTACTTCAAGGCTGGATTACTGCAACTCTTTATTATCAGGTTGCCCCAATAAGTCCATTAAAACGCTCCAATTAATTCAGAACGCTGCAGCACGAGTACTGACAGGAACTAGAAAAAGAGATCACATCTCTCCTGTACTAGCTACTCTGCATTGGCTCCCTATAAAATGTAGAATTGAATTTAAAATCCTCCTCCTCACCTATAAAGCTCTTCATGGTCAGGCCCCTTCATATCTTAAAGAGCTCATAGTACCCTATTACCCCACTAGAACACTACGTTCTCTGAATGCTGGGCTACTTGTGGTTCCTATAGTCTCTAAAAGTAGAACAGGAGCCAGAGCCTTCAGTTACCAAGCTCCTCTCCTGTGGAACCAGCTTCCAGTTGTGGTTTGGGAGGCAGACACCCTCACCACATTCAAGAGTAGGCTTAAGACATTCCTCTTTGATAAAGCTTATAGTTAGGGCTGGATCAGGTGAGTCCTGAACCATCCCTTAGTTATGCTGCTATAGGCCTAGACTATCGGGGGATTTCCCATGGTGCAATGAGCTACTCTCTTCCTCTCTCTTTCTGCACTCATTCATGTCCCTTTAATGCATGTTACTAACTCCACTTCTTCCCCGGAGTTCTTGTGCTTTCTCGTCTCGCAGGTTCTCATGGATCCTGGTGGAGCCTCCTGCCATGGTCCTGCTTGACTGCCATTGCCAATACTGTTGTTGCTGTGCACCTGTCTGTCTGTCTGTCTGTCTCTCGCTCTCTCTCTCTGCCTCTCTCTCTCTCTCTCTCTCTCTCTCACCCCAACTGGTCGAGACAGACGACCACCCACCTAGAGCCGGAGGATCTGTCCTAGGTTTCTGCCTTTTAACAGGCAGTTTTTCCTTGCCCTTGTCGCCAAGTGCTTGCTCATGGTGGTACTGTTGGGTCTCTGTCATTA